TGTGTGTAGTGTATAAAATTATGAATCTGTCTCTTATACACATCTGGTCTTTAGCAATTAGTTAGCAATTAAAATCTGTTTTTTATCATTTTAAATGTCTATGTTGTAATAGAGATTATATTGGGAAGACAGATAGGAACTTAATGAATAGACTTAAAGAACATTATATACGATCTGACGGTGTTATATAATTTACAAAATTGTGGGGCATTCCAATATCTTCAGGTTTAAAATTTATACTTGTAAATGTGGTCTGTAATGAAAGTAATAAATTATGTTTAATATCTTTTAATAATACTGTAACATTATTGAGAGTTCCAAAAACTGTTCTGTTTTGTTTAGAGAAGCGTTTGCTATTAGTAGACTACACCAATTGCTTAACAATGGGCTTAAAGCATCAAAAGAGTTTTTTTTTTTTTTTTTTTTTTTTTGTAGGGAGCTTTGATGAGTAGAGTTGACCTTTAGTTCACATCACAATTATGTCACCTATTAACATTTTTATTAGTCAGATACTTTTTGTATTTGTTGTATTATAAGCTTGTAAATATGGATAATTTTTCATTTCTGTTGATAACATAATTAATGTCGAAATATTTAATCCCAGATGATGGCGTGCACTTTCATATCTGCAGTATGTATTATACCTTCTCATTTCTATCCACTAATAAGTTTTTATAAATATTTAGGTCTTCGATCTATGCTAAAGTTTTAATATATTGTGTAATAAATGTGTATCGTTAGTATACATATTCATCTGAACTATTACATAATTCTATAAAGAAGCACAAAGAACCACAAAAGGTAATATTTTATAATTAAAATATATTGCAGACACTTACGGTTTTCCGAGCAGATTGTTTACCAAGCAAGTCTTTCCAACGCCCTCCTTGCCGGCTACCATTAATCGTGCATGGTTTACTGTAACTTTTCCATTCTCTAACTCCTCATTAAAAACTTTCAATGCTTCCTCCCCTCTTGCTAATATTACTTCTGGTACTTCAAAGTCTGAAGGGGTGGAGATTCATGGAATAATTATAGAGAACATTAAATGGAAATGGAAAGTTCGTCAGTGACACAACGAAAGTCACTCATTACAATGAAGTCTACTATGATCGATGATTCATTTTAATAAACACAGTCGCACACAGTTTTAAAAATATTATTTGTTTGGATTGAGTTAAATGAGAAACACAATCAGCCATCATATGCTAACTTGTATTGATTGCAAAAACGTGTTAATACCTACGATCTTAAAACACTTGCTAATAAACACAATAGCCATCTCGAATTTTTAGAGTGCAAATTTAACTTACTTACCAGACAATATAGTATCGTGCTTGATGTACAAAATTCTACTAATATTGACATGGAAGTAAAGTATGGGGCATGCCAAATTATATGGATATTGATAAAATTCAGAATGGATTTTGTAAGTATGTGCATGGAGGAATTAGTTCCTAATTCCTCCATGGTATGAGTTAGGCATTGCCAAAAATGCACCAGATAAAGCTTCAAAGGCAAAAATGGGAAGATTCTCTAATTTCGTAATATGTTTAATTAATGTGTTTCATAATTAGTTATGCCTAATTCAAAGTCACCATGATCGTTTTCATTATTAGTGTTATCTTTTTCAATTTAAAAAAGTCGAATTAATTGAATTATGTCGGTTTTATTATGTTAAACAATTTCTATGTTCAATTGGTTTTGGTTATGTCTGTTTTTACAACAGGTAGATGATTCTGCTTTTTGTTTTAATTTCTGTGCTAAAATTAAGACTTATTGCTAAAGAAAGACAACATTTCAAAGACAAAGTCAAAACATATTCGAGATTGAATCATTTTAAATCCTTTGTTGGGGGAGGTGTTGAGAAATAGTACAACTCTATCATTGAGTATATTTTCCGCACGATTAAAATCGTAACGGTACTGGTTTGGTCGACAGGAGTTTGTGTTTCGTGCAGGTAATTCTATTCATAGAAAAAGCTGTTTTATTGGATAAAGCGTACCTGTCGTTAGCCATAGTAGCCTATGTCAATACTAACTCCAGCTATATAAAATTGATTATAAGATTGAAAAATATTAATCTTATTATTGTAGTAGTGACATTAAGTCCACGTTTTAAATCTTGTTATTTATTCGTTAACGTTAATACATATATAATTTAATGTATTTTTTAAGTATGAATTACTACGTCAACGTTAAATTAATCCTATCTATTAAAATTGTATATTTAAATAATATAGTAATTATAGGCATAGCTGAGGCCTAGCCTAGCCTAAACCGAGTGAATATGTGTGTAGTGTATAAAATTATGAATAAAAAATATGAATAAACGAAAAAGTTTTAAAGAATAAAGGAAGAAGGTAGAAAAGGAATGTGATTTGGAGCGGCTGAAATTCGATAATAATAATAACAATAATAATAATAATAATAATAATAATAATAACAATAACAATAATAATAACAATAACAATAACAATAATAATAATAATAATAATAATAATAATAATAATAATAATAATAATAATAATAATAATAATAATAATAATAATAATAAGATATACAATAGTAGTCAATATGTAATTATTGCATTACGTTTTTGTAAACATTTTCGGGCATTAATCATGAGAGGTATCGGCGCCACAGCCTACACTTTTCATAATTCGACTTCTTTTTATTTAGGAATAAAGAAATGTATTTATCCTGTAAAAGCTTGAATAAGCGCTGCCGCACTTATACCATATTTGGAGGCTTCAGTGTGGTGCTTATTCAAGAGCGGCGCTAATAAAATGAAATACTAGTATGGCGCTTTTCATGCCGTTCCCATGTTACATATCTCACATTCCCGTAGTACAGTAGGCCTATCATAGATACAATGTCATAGTAAAGAAACACTTCAATACAAAAAAAGGAAGTACTTGCGTATTCATTGTGTTATTTATTCATCTTAACACTGTATACATTGTATTTAAAACCCAAAATGTTTAATTACACACAAGGTAATAATATACTCTTAAATGCTTTTTCGAGCATTTAGGGTAATTAAAAATTATATAATCTGAATCCACGATTTTGTAACAAGATAGCAATAAAGGCTTCTATTTTATTTATAAATCGGTTTTTTACAGAAAACGAACTTTTAAAACTTTTTATCACTTGCAAATTGACATGTTATTGAACATTTCAAACATTTTTTGCCTGCAGTTCGGGTGTTTAATTTTGTGAATATAATTTTCCCATATACTTGTCTGAACTAAACACGATGGATCAATCAGCAATAATTTTGCAAAATATTTAACCCATTTCTTGTGTTGGTTCCTGAAAGCTGTATAATCTTAGCTTTTATGGTTACGAGTTGAGTGTTGCTTACACTTGAAAGCAAAGAAATGTTTTTGGTCGATAAATTTCAAAATTTGGAATGTTATCTCTTCCAACTGCTTTATTTTAACTTTTGAGAATTTAAGAATATTGGTACCGAAATCGTTCAGCTTCATTGGACTTTGGTTTTCAATAGTTTAAAGCAGAAAAACAGTTTCTTGAAAATGTTCTGCAGTGGTCTGTAATTGCATTTTGATGTAATGATTGGTGTTTGTTTTTGTTTAACTGGAGATACATTATAAATGTAGGCTTCCCATGTCTTCTTCATTTGCCATATTTTTCAGTTCATTAAACTGAAATGATAAAGTATAAAATGCAAAATTATTTATTGATGGTGAAAAAATAGTGAAATATGAAAATGACTATAGATTTTTCTAATGAAGATTTACATACCTTTGCAGTATTATTGGTTTACAATTTTGCTGCCTGTTTCATAATGAAAATTAATTTAAGATAAAAATATAATATATATATATGTATATATATATATATATATATATATATATATATAAATGTTAATGCTTAAATATTTTACGTTAATGTAATATATATTTCTTTTTATATATTTATATTGTTTTATTTATTTCTTATTTCCTTATATGTATGTATATAAGTATTTACATTTGTCAATATTTTATTTATATTATTTATTAATTTTAATTTGTATATAATGCATTAATATTATTTAATATAGTTATGGCATAAATATTACATATATAAAAATTAAATAATGTATTCATATATATTTTGTTGTTATATATTTATATATTTATTATTACTAGTATTAACAATAATAATTTTTAACATGTATAACGACTCATGAAAATGCATATTTATTACACTAGACTTCATCATAGGTAACTATCACAAGTCCAGCTGCAGGCCGATTTAATAGTCCCCACTTGATAGACATTTTATTAACTGAACTGCAAAAATTAGTAGTACTAGGGCACAGGCTTATGCCCTAACTATGCCTAGATACACTACATAGGTCGTTTAGCCAGATATTTTACCTACCTAGCATAAGCGGTCCTATAATAGACCCCTTGCAATGTTTACATTGGACCAAAAATATGAAAGCTGCATGGATGAAAATCACATATGACATATTTAAATAGCCTATTACGAATTAACAATAAAAATAAAAAGTGAGGAACTTTATTTTTTCTATTTTTATTCAATTTTTTTAACTCATTTTCATCGGATGTTGCTATGTGCGAGCGCGCTAGGCCAAGAAATTGCAAAAGTGTGGCAATATCGCCTCCGCCGGTATGAATAGCCTAGAATAGGCCTGTGAATTTTCTGTTTACCCCACGGTGAGGCTAGGCTAAATTTGACAAACGTTTTGAGGTAATTGTTAATCTAAACACTACAAGGGGTTTATAGTTTTATTAGCAAAAGTCCTACTGCCTACCCAGCTAAACATGTTTTTTAACGCTTATGTATAACCATGGCTGCTGAAATGACCGTAGTAGAACCAATAACTCCCTCGTAGAACTAGCACTAGCCTAGTTATAATATTAAACATCAGTAGTATAGGCCCTAGGGCTACCTAGCCAACTAGGCTAGGTAGGCCCTAGGGCTACCTAGCCAACTAGGCTAGGCCTAGTCCTATCTCATGAATAGGCTCTCCTCTCCTTGGAATGCCATCCTTGAAGTGCTGAATATTCCAAAATTCTGTATCACATCCTGGCCTAAAGTATTTGTTTATAATCAAGCCTAGTCTGCTACTAGTCCGTTATGTATGGTAAACTAGGCCTAGTCATAGCAAAGGTGTCGACTTGTACCGAGATTCACAGTCGCTTACCTCTGTAAACAATTCGATGATGACAAAAACGGGACGGGAAATGTTGCCGTTTGACTATACTAAACTTGTGCACTTAAACGTAAGAGCACTGAAAGAATACGATGATGTTGATTATATGTTAGAAGAACTTGAACGATGCAGTTTTAAATGGCAAGTAATAGGTCTGGCTAAAACAAAACGAAAAGGAGGACGAAAATTGTGAATTTCTCATTTACAAGGATACAAAGACCTCAGTAATTGGATTCACACCACATTCAATCAGAATAATCAGCATGCAAGTACTACCAAAAAACGAAACCAAAATCATCATTCTTAAAGTCTACGTCTCTACAACAAGCCATGGCGACATAGAAGTTAACATATTTTATGACACAATACAACAAGCAATTGCGAAAAATAAAAGCAATTACCTTTTTGTGCTGGACAATTTTAACGCGAAGTGAGGAATTAGATCGAATCAGGAAAAGCATCGGAAAGAAACGAAAGAAGAAAGAAAGGAAGAGTAAAAAAAAACTGCAAAAATAAAAAAATAAAAATTTATAGAGACAGGCAAAGGCCCAAATGAAGCAGAAAAGGCTACAGCATGTAAGTCGAGATTAGTAGCTACGAAAAAAGAAAATAAAGAAGTTACAAAACAACAGATCAGAAATCAAAGATATATGTGCAAATTATTACTCAAAAATGTTTCAGTCCGAAAAAGTACACCTCACATTACAAAGAATATCTCTCAGATCTCAGATATGCAGATAACATTGCACTTGTAACCAACTTTTTTGAAAAGATGGAAGAACAGCTGAACATAATAAATGAAGAGGGGTTGA